GCTTGATCTTGTTTGTAAGGTAACCACTGTGACACTGAGAAAGTGGATTCTGAAAGCGAGTTAAAACTTTGTTGTTTTTTAGTTCGTATTTGTGGACAGTGGAGGTGTTTTTGAGAGAAGTGACAAAAAAGGGCATATGTAAAATGTGCTGACTTCTGCTCAGTGCTTCTTTTTACAGTGCCCCATAAAGAAGCCCCTATATTTCTAAGATTCAGTGGCGTGGATGCCTACCTTTCTGTAGTACTGATTAATTTTGTGCCTTTTGTCTGCTTTCTTAATACAATAACTTATACTTTATAGAAATTACACAAATATATTTAGATCAAAGCAGTGCTTATATCCATTCTTGTGTGTCCTGCATTTTGTAACTATTATTTTTGTAGATGTTAAAATCTCTTGAGCAACTCAAAAGGCTGAACGGAGGTGTGTACATACGGAAACATGCCATTAGTTATTCATTTGGACATAATATGTAATAGATCCATTTGAACTTCAGATCCCTCTGTAATTATGTGGCTCCTTTTCCCTCCCCCAAATGCTGATTTGTCTGCTTGTATGTCCTTTTTTATTTTTTGCACATTAGAAAGAGTTCATGTTATAAATCATTTAAATCTTATTTTTTAAAAAAAAAAGTGGGCTGTATGAGCTTGGGTTTATAACAGACTTTTTTTTTTTAAAAAAAAAAGGAAAAAAATGTTATTTTTAGGAAGAGTTGATGTTTATCTGTAAAAAACCCAAAATGATGCTGTTATCGTAATCCCTCAACTACTGCCAGGTATCATCAGGAAAACATGTACTTTATCACCTGCAAGAATTAACTTTATAGAAGGATCCACTCTTGTTCTAGATGTTAGTCTGATAAGTCACTAGAAGTACTCATATGGTTTGCAATATCATCACAGGGAACAATCGAAAATGCAGAATTAAACATGTGGAACATCCTCCCAGAACTTTGACTTTCACACACCAAAGAACAAACCACGTACTCACTAGAAATAGCCATTGGAAACCTCTCGCTGTCGGGCACGCGGGCCTGCGCTCCTGAAAGAGTTGACCTTTTTCAGCTTTGATGGTGTGACTGTCGAGGCTACGGAGATGCTGTAGCCCTTCTTTTAAGGAAAATTTTGACTAATTTTATGCTTGTAATTTATCGATTATTTTTTTTTCCTGATTGCATGGTTGGTTGGTTCTGCATGCCGAGAACATTCCACTTGTGCTCCGATGTTTTGTTTTGTTCTGATGCTGTGAAGAATCCTGATGCCGTTCCCACTGGTTCTTTTTCAAGGTAGCTTGGGAGAGGCAAATGTAAAAAGTCTTTTCTGAGAAGATCCCATCAGCGAGAGATTCTGGAACAAGATTCACCAGTGTCATTTGATTTTTCTGATAGCTCTGTGTTCAGTATATTTTACAGTACTGAAAAGTAAATATTTATAAGCCTTATTCTGTAGGTCGTTCCAATAGCTGTCTTGGACTTGCAAGTAAATATTTTCCTTTTCAAGTAGCCAACGTACACTCCAAATTGTAATGTATAAACCTCCATGTACTATAATTTTTTGTGTGTGCTCACCTGTAGAAAGCCTATGCAACCTTTTTCTTTCATAAATGAGAAATGTTCTGAAAGAAAATTTATACCTTGATCATTTAAAAAGATGCTCTGGCAGTCTCTTCTGATTTGCCTTCCTTTCATAATTTGTGAGTTTAAAACAGCAATGGTCATGAATAAAAAGGATTTGTTTCATTTAGTAGTGGGATGCCTTTTCTCTTTCCATCGAAGCGTTCGTTAACTGGTACCAGTCCCGCGGATGGCCGGGAGCCGTGTGCAGCACTCGGGGCACCCGGGAGCGCTTTGTGTGTTCTGAGAAGTGACTCGGCAGCTCGGTCCTGGCTTGTTGTGGGGTTTTTCTGCCCTGTTCATGCTGCCAGACACCAGGCAGGTAAGGTTTGTTCTGTTGAAATGGGACAGAGAACACCAGGCTGGGCAGCGTCACAGCTTTAGGAGAGGCTGGGGAACACAGGCCTTGTTTTGACAAATGCAAAGGAAATAGGCTAACATGATCTCTTGTTTCTGAAAATTGTATTTCATTTAATCATTGTCTTTAACACAAATTCTTGGTTAGAAAAGTCTTAAAATACAGCTCTGAAATTATTGCAGCATTGGACACTTGCATGGGAAGGAAGTATGCTCAGAGTCCTGGTCAGCATTTTTCAAGTGTTAGATGATGCAGTTGTGATTTATTTTAAACATTTGTCCACAGTGTTGGAAACTATCATGCCAGAACACTTTGTTTTTATACAAAACAGAAAACAACACTGGCTGTAAAAGGGAAACACTGTCCAGGCATGTTCCTTGCCTTTCGTTCCAGTGCTTCAAAGCAACGCCTCGGAGCAGTCTGTGCCTTTGGTTTAAAGACGTTACTGAGTTTTAGTCCTCACCATTTATTATTTATTTTCAGTTGTTACTCATACTGAGATTGATATGTACAGAGGGCTGAGTCAAAGCATTTAACTGTCTTTTCAAGAGTAAATCTATCATGATATTTAACTAATGCCTTTTCTCCCCCTTTTGTTATGGAATTACTTCCACAAGTCAAAATATTTCTTCTGGGATTCCCAGCGTTACTGTCGGCCCTCCCACCTTTCAACAGTAAGGACTGATCCAGGACTGAGGCGGTGCTGCTGCCTTCGAGACACTCACAGTTTTAGTGCCTTGGCAACTAGAGCCTGTAATAAGCATTTTAGTGCTTTAGATTTTACTGGTTTGTGGCAGTTAGGCTTCGAAATCTCTAACATTTGACCACATAGAGCAACAAAAGGATGTCTTTAGTTAAGGGAATATGCTAGTCTGGGAGGTACTGTTGATAATGATGCAAGATGCAGGTATTCTTCGCTGGCACAGGTGTGGTTCAGTTCTCAGAAGATGCAGCAGTTTGTTTAGCTGGGTGATTTGAGGTCGGTTCCTCAGGAACAGGGAAGGTCGGTTTCCTGGTTCCCCACCTGTTCCTGAGGGGAAGGTGATGCACCACCTGCCAATTCATTTTTGTAACTTTGTTTTTTTCCAGGGGGTTGCCTTAATGACTTCAGCTTTTCATTTTGCTTAAAGGCAGAACACTGACAGGAGCCTTGAAGTCAAGGTGGATGTCAGACAGCTCAGGTAAGTGGCAGGCAACTTTAGCCCAGGCTGGCTACGGGTCTGTAGTTGGCTTATTTTTCTTTCACATAGCTCTAAAAATGCTGTAAACGTTGACAGGATTCACTTATTTCTGCTCTGCTAACGAGAACGCTGTCAGGTATGACAGAAAGCAATCTAACTGTAAAGATGCCTAAAGATGGGTGCGCAAGCTTTTATTTCCCATTTTTTTAAAAACAAGGCTGAGTTACTGCCAAACCACAGACTGACCAGCAGCACTTGCACCATTGCCTTCCAGATGTCCTTCCAACCGTTAGATTTCTTACCAGCAGTGAGGGCACGGGATGCAGATTTGCTTGGAAGGAACAAGCTATGACAAACCCCGCATCACAAAACCACCCCTTCTGCTTGCAGCTGAGCAACTGCGGCAGCGCGAGCTTCTCCAGACACAGGAAGGATTCACTGCTCCAGCCGTGCTTGGGAAAGGCGGCTGCTGTTTGCTGAAAATATTACAGCCACCTTAATTTCATCACAGCAGAGGCCTGACCTTCAGCTTAATAAATTTAAGCTGGGAGAATGTTAAGTAGCTTGTCATGGCTTTCATGACAGCACCTTTGTGAGGTCAGCAGATCTGGGGGTTCCAATGACTTAAATTATCACTAGGACCCTAAGCAACGTGTATCAAGTTAATTGCAACAAAACTGACACAAACACCCTTAACACAAAACTTGAATTAACTTTATTTTCCCCTACAGTCAACAACTGGTCTGCAGTGAGCTTTAAAGCAAAAAATAAAATGAAATCTCCGAACACCAGGGGCCAGAAATCCAGATTTAATTATCTTTGTGAAAATGTTGCAGCTGTAGTATTGGTCTGTATAAACCATCAGAGTCAAAAATGAGTTCATAAATCAAAAAAATATTCTACACCTTGGGAAAGAAGTCAGCAGTAACATTCTCACAGAACACTGTAAATTTACATTTTCTTCATGAAAGGTACATACTATTCTGCATTTTACATCAAATCATTGATGCAAGTTTTGTTTCTATAAAAAGTTACAACCTGTGGCAGGAAAAAAACTGCAAAACCCTTTCATTTTAATTAAAGAAAATTTTCAAGTCTGTATAAAGGTTTCCTATAGCTGGAAAATGAACATGTTCAGTCTCCGTTTATATCATAGTGCATTTAATCTGACGTTTTTCACCACTTTTTCCCTAAAAAAAAAAAAAAAAGGTATAAAAGACAGACAAAGCAAACAGCACTATAGCAGGAATTTCTTCAATCGATTTAAGCGCTCTAAATAAAAATGCAAAGAAACAGATTTCCAGAAAACCTTTTTACCCTCACAAGAAAGGCAGTGAGGCGATGGGGGGGAGAGGTTTGCAAATCCTCGACCTCCGATAGCCACAGAAAAGGGGGTTTGTATACCTGTCAACCTTTTTCTTTTTTTCCCCATTAAACAGGCTATGCTTGTTTGACCAATGTAAACATTTACCTAAAAGAGTTTATTTTCTGTTCTGAAGCACCAGCCGGTACCTGGCGCTCAGCTCTGTGTTACCGTAGCATTCATTACTGTCGTTTCAGATTCGTCAGGAGGATACAGATTTAGCCCTTGAATCGATGGGTGTGCAAGATTTGCCTTGTCTACCTCGTGAAATGACAGCGTAAGGCAGTGACACTACAACCCCCTGTTAAACAAAAGCAGCTGGTCCAACCTCAACTAGCGCCCAATTAATCTGTCCTGGCATCTCCTGTGAAAGCTGCGGCTCTGCTTCGTACACTGCGGATCAAAACGAGCCTGCAGTGAGAGTAAAAGGACACTGAAAGAAACCACTGAAAAATAATCACGGGAGTAACTTGTTTTGAAAGTTTGAATTTCAGAGAGCTCTGCTTCCTCTTAAAATGTTGAAAATGAGGCATTTTTAGCTTTCCCCAGTCCAGTTTACCTCTTGGTGCTGTTCAGCTGAACAGTGCTTCCCAAAAAAGATTGACAAGTATGCATGTGCCAAGGACCAAATTACAGGGTTCTTTGGTGCAGTCAGTCCAAATTCTCAACAGATTTGAAGGATAATATGTACCAATAAAAAAAAAAAAATGCTGCTAGACTTGGATAGCAGCTCTGTCTTGCTTCACATTACAAATCTAAAACAGCTGTTCTCAATAAGCCAATATTTTTAATCAGACATTGCCTGAAAATTTTGTACAATAATCTGGACCAATGATGGTTCTGTACCCTCATGTTGCTGTGAAACATGACTTGAGCTAAAGGCAAAGACTGGTTATCTCAAGGACAACTGCTTCGTATTAGCAATCAGAACAGTGTATTTAAACTGTCTTCCTGTTGGGTCTCTTGCCTTTCTTTAAAATTAGTTTATTCTTAATGTAGCCACGCTTCCTTTTGGAGGTCTAAAAAGAAAAACAGAATAAAATGTATTAGTTAATGATTTAGTCTTGACCGCGGTTTAATGACGTACATTTAAATGCCTGAGCTTTAGATTGATTTTTAAAAGAGCTTAAACGTAAACCCTCAACTAGGTATTATCTGGTTATTATTTTTAAAGTTGGGATTGTTAGTTCATGCCCAGCATTTGTTTTTGCACAAGCTTTTGCAAGCCCCATCCATAAGATCTGTAGAATTGTTTCCAAAGATTGGGCTGGGGCAGAATTAACAATTAACCAACATTATAAAGCCCTAATAGGCCTGAAGAGCAGAAGTGGCACAGAGTGGTAGTTTTGATTGGAAATAACTTTCTCGCATCTTTTGATTCTCCTAGAAGTTACCCATATTTACTTAAAGCAGCATTTTTCAAAAGTAAGAGAAAAACTGAATAACCACATTTTAGTCCTTTGCTATTGGTCTGTAGGCTAGTTAGTGCTTTCTGCTCAAGTGTTTTTATCAGCGTATTTTATATTTTTTTTTTTTTAAGGTACTAATGGGGAATGCGTTAATGTTAACCTTGGATCATATTACTTCGAGGTTGTATAAATACAGTTAGTTTGTGGCAGGCAGAATTGTACATTCCACATGCCTGCCACAACAAACGAGACAGCAGGCTGCTCCCACACTTGCTGCACTTGGCTGTGCTTACCAGCAGGCTCGATTAACTAGAGCTTTTCTCTTTTTAGCAACAACATTATTGTTATAAAGTGAGATAGATAAAAACTGATAGGTAATACTCAGAGAAATTGTAGCTCTGGGCTCGAGCAATGTCACTGCCTCATGCGGAGAAGTATGGGAGATGGACAGAATTTCCAGTAACGAAGCATCTGCTGAAACCCTGTGGCTATCAAGGAGCCCTCAAAATTCATTTAAGGAAGTGCTAGTTTAGACATTTGCCCTGTGCTCTTTGCTGGTTCTCCCATTTCTTAATGGGAAGCAGAACCTGTTTGTACTGCAAGAGTTAGTGCTGGACCAGAATTTGCATTAACTTTTATCCTGTCCTTTAGACAGAGAACAGACACATCCACAGCTTAAGTGGAGGGTCAGTGCAGCTATGGTTAATAAACACTAGTAACACAGCCTTGCTTGTCACTTGAGAGCAAGTAAGCGTACAGCAGTAACGCTTATAATTTCCTTGCAGGCTAAGTCTAGCTTCAGTGCTGACTCTCAAATATCCTTACTTTATGAACTTCCATCGAATCACCAAAATGAGTATCTTTACTTGTATTTCCACAATACAGTGTAGGTCTTACTGCCTGCACTGATGCAGTTTGTTGCCCATTTGTTTCTGACAGGATTCTGGAATTCCTTTTGCAACATATATTTGAATATACAGAAAAGAGATGTTTTGCAGGAGAGGGCTGCTCAGAGTCTCCCCAGCTCCCCTGGGAACAAATCTTTCTTAACAGGCTGAAGCAGCACCCCATAGCTACCGATTCTAAAACCGTGCAGATGACTTCAAACAGTAAGCAGCCAGACACTAAAGTTCCGTCAACAAAAGTTTCATATTTAATTTATTTCATACAAAATTGCCATTTTTTAAACTTCTAGGCATCACTACTTCCAAACAAAGTCAGAAAGCAACTTCCACATCATTTACTTAGTGAGCCATAGTTACTGAAACATGAATTGATGTACTTTAGAGATTATACTTCCGGTTAACATGAAGACTTAAGAGTTGTAACAGCCAGTGACACGCTCTATTTCCAGTTAGCATTCTGCCTAAAAAAAATCTAGCCTTGTGTCTTCACATGCTTGTAAGTTAAGCAGACAGTAAATTAACAATTATTACCAGCAGGCAGGTCTGATATTGGACACTAACAAGAACAGTATCCGTAACATTCTGGCTAGTGGAAATACACAATTCACCAGCTACGTGATTTCACTGTTAAACTGCCCTCGCCTGACCCCCTTCCGTTACTTCACTGGGAACCCACCTTCTTTGACAAATACTTCTGTTTCGGTACAATGTTGGTTACTCTAGGTTTATGATCCAATGTCTCTCTGTTGTCTAGTTGTTTCACCTTGTATATTCTAACAAGCCAGTGCTCTGAGGTAAAGGCTTCCTCCAGATGTTTAAATTTAATGTCTTTGTTGCCTATCTCAGCATTGCGTGTACGATCAAATCCTGGGGGCGTCCGAAAATCCAGCTGTAAAAATTAAAAGTTGCACATCAGTTTGAGACAAAACCCAGACACCCATCACTGCAAATGGTGGCGCTTCACCAGGCAACAGTTTCAGCCTGTCTGGTCAAAGAACAGCGCTTACTTGGCGTTGGTCATTACTACACAGAAACAACTCTCAGGTTTTTGGTTTTTTTACAATTGAGAAAGAGACAAATTCATTTGCACTCCTATGGATGTCACAGGAGAAGCACTTCTTGACAGAAATTTCACATCTGCGTTCAGAGCTGAAACGACTCAGGTAAAAGTCTGAGGCACAGCAGCCTGTGGAGGCTTTTCAGCACGGCTGCGCCCTTGTGCTCCTTCTCTTACAGCACAGCAATGGGCAGTTTTGTGGTTTTCCATACAAGGTGGAAAGAGTTCAGGTTTATCAGTTAAATTTGACCCCCTTGTCTTACATACAAGCCATTGCCTGGAATTTTAGCTGAGTAAAGGATTCCTGTGCTGGCACATCAGAACTTGTCAGGGGTTGGTGGGGGGGTGGAAATCAGCCTTAGCTGCCCACATATGTTTGATGATCCTAAAGGGGAGTGACAACTCTCTCGGACAACTCCACTCTTTTAAGTGTTTAATACACTGATGTAACTTGGACAGAAATCAGGTAGTTGCTGACAGATTAAATAGTCAATTAACAGTTTTACTTCTGTGTTGCCATTACAGAAAAGAGACCTAAAACTCTCACAACATAATAGTTAATGCTTTAGCAAGTGCACTGCATAATGGAACTAAGATGCTCATCTAGGGCAATATGAAGGACAGCGAAAAGGTTAGCAGCAGAACTGTAGGTTAGCAGCAGAAATACTTTTTTTCTAAAGATCATATAAAGTAGACCATGCTTGGATGTCTTTTAGCTTGTAAAGCTGACTCCTACCTCCATTTCTGCTACTACAAACATCACTCGATCTAAAAGACTGAAAATATATCAAAATAACATTTGTTTTCTCACATTTCAGTTAAGATTCAGTAGAAGTTGTACTAACCTGCATCTCGCCGAATCTGTAATAGGACATTTTATACATGAGGCAGTTCAGCAAAGTTGGAGAACCTGCCTTGTCTACCCGGAATTCTCCCTGAGGGGTAAAGTAATCACTTTCCTTTAAAAAGATAAGAAGATAGAAGAGTCAATGTAAACTAATTTAAGGTTATTTCTCAATCCCTTCCTGCTCCCACAGAGAAAGCATCATAAAGAACCTAAACTGACTTCTACAGTTCGAAAGCTGATTCAAGTTAGTCATGTAACAGAAAATGATGGTGCTTATTAAAGGTAAAATAGTTACAAACTACCTACTTGTAACCCAGACCCCAACAGACCAGTCTTCCTAAATCTGTATTACTGTGCTGGTACAAGTTTTGTTGCTTCACAGAAAGCAGCGGAAAACCGATCTCAAAACATGAAAGTTAGTTGGGCATCTATCCAAACTCTTCTTCAGAAGGGCAAAAAGCACTGCAGTGTAAATATGCAAGGTCTGCAGTGTTACCATAAGCTTCATATGTGCACAGTGTTTAAAGAAAAAATTCTGTCATTTCCATCTCTGGTACAAGATGAAACTCTGCACACGGGCGGCTGCCTTAAGCCCCTGTTCAATATCTAGAAGGTTTTGTTAGGCTTTGGAAAATATTACTGCAGGCTTTTGCAATCTACAAGATGTTTGAATAACTTCAACTCTACATTAAGTCAATATTAACACTTTAACTTGTCTGCTACTATTATGGAGTTTGAAGAAAATGTGTGATACCAACTATTTAAACAGTCTGAACACTCCTACTCTTTTAAAGTAGGATGTTGCACGGCGAGACACACACAAGGATTACAAAAGATAATCCTGTACTTTTAGTATCTTGCAGAAAATGTTAAAAGCTTAAGAGGTTACTGACTATTCAAAACCATAAATATTGAAAGAAACCAGCTTCTGTGCTGCTACTGTTCTAGGAAAACAACCCATAATACATTTTTCAAATAAAACTGGAGTAAGTCGTAGAGATCTCCCTCTGCTGTAATGAGCACTACCAGGAAAAGCAACAATATAAATCAACGTGTAAAAGAAAAAAAAAAGGTAGAGAGGATGCAGAAATGCACTATTCAGCTGCTTCAGTTTTCCTGTGTACGTTTCCACTTACCCGAATATCTTTGGGATGCTCCCCCTCTGCTATTCTCACCATCCACAAGAACTTATTAATATCATCACCCGAGTAGCCAATCACACCACCAAAAATAATCAAAACATAATCCACATCCAGGCTTCTCATGATCTCGTACGCTGCCGACTCATTTGATGACATTGCCTTTCCCACCTGTATCGTAGCAAAAATATCTTAAAAGTATTTGCGTAGCTGCCTGTTGAACAGATCCGCAGATCAACACCCGACACACCAAAGCCCAAGAGCACGTACCTTGCCAACTGAAGCCCACATTTTCATTCTAGATGAATAAAGCCCAACCAGACCTACAGATTTTGAGTTGTCACTGTATTGCCAAAAACTTAGTGTTGCAGAAAATGCCTAATCCAAATGATTTTCAAAGTTTTAGACACAAACAAATGAATAAATTATTTGAAATGCTAGTAAATCTTTTGTTTCTTTTTTTTCTTGAGCTCTGTCCTTCACTAATGAAGCAGCCATGCTGCATTGTACTCAGTCTGATGTAGCCACCCTCAGCGTGGAATTCAAGGTACATTTATGCAGAGAAAATGTCAGAATAGAGACATCCTTGAGTTAAAAACATAATATATAGTTTTGGCCTTGAAAAACTTTCTAAAGCAGTATCCAGAACCTCCTCCGTACTGGTCACACCCCACACTTAAAAGACTTCACTTAGGCTAGTAACTGGCATTCAGTTCAGTAGCTTTGTTATTGAGGCTCTTGTACTTAAGGCATAATAATGTGTCACTGTAGTAAAATAGGAGTAACGACAATGTAAATAATATTGCATCCAAATGGGTAACATTCAGTTAAGGATGTAATTAGAGAACACTAAGCGTAGGCTGCAATCTGTCAAAACGACTGAGAGCCTTGGCTTCTTTCCATTATCCTCATCCCCGTGAAAATATCTGGCAGATTTCCATTTCTGCGCAGGGGGAAGTCATCTGGACACAGCTCATCTAGAGCACAAGTTCAGGTATTTGCCACAACACATGTTTATTGCTTCAGTCCCCCTTGATGGAACCTGACAGCATCAGCAGTCAGAATTCTTTATTAAAAACCATCATCGCTAATTGCTGGAACGTGTATGGTTATACAGCATGGAAGCCTCTTCACATGATGTGCCTCGTTGGTTTAGATACGGTACCTGCGTTTCTGCCTTTTGTAGAAGAGGTAGAAACACAGAGCTATCAGAGTTGAACGTCCAGCGAAACCTGCTAGCACCTCAGGTCAACAATCAAAATAAAGATGCCTCTGAGCACACATGGGAAGGCTTGCTCACTGATATTAGCACCAATACCACTTCCCAAGCCTTCTCTTGGCTGATATGAGTTCCCTGCCCCTGTTGAAAGCATGTACATGTGGTTCCCCCCTTCCCCAATACACATTTTTTCAGCACTTTATATGCTCAAGGCATGATTTTGAACACTGTCTGCAGATCCTGCTGAGCTGCTGCACTAGCTACTCACACAGGACAAGAAACTATCCCAATACATTCCTCAAGCCCTTCCCCTGTTCTGCCCGTGCAGCAGGACACGGGGAAGAAATGGCCTCCAAACGATGAATGATGTCATCACCGAGTAGCAAATGCTGACGAGTCATTACACTGCACCTAGTGAGACTGAACCCTCACCACTATATAACAGAGAGTACTCTTTTGTTTCTGAAAAAACTTCAAGTTGCCTGAGGTGGTGCACCTGTAACCGCAGGCAATGTTAGCAGCCTGCTTTTAAGTACGTGCGCAAAGCTTAAACTCACTCTTCAGAAGTGGAAGAAAAAAGCCCCAATATACAGATATTTTGTCTAACTGCAAATTTGAGAAGGCAGAATTGCATCAAGTCTGCCACGCTTCCATGGCTATTCATAAACTTACTCCAATTTCCAAGATTCCTGAAAATTCATTGTTTAATGTCGTCAGCTTTCACACACCATTCACAAACCCAGTCAGCAAAGGCACTGCTGAACTGGAACGACAGCTGTACTTGGCTGGTGCCAGTGAAGCAGCGGTACCAGAGAAGCTGTCGCAGCGCTCGTCTCTAGGGGAACGGTTACACTCCGTTTTGCCTGTCCCCCCTAAAGAAAACCAACGAAACTGAAGTGGAAGGTGAAGCTTTGGAAACTCCGAGGAAACAAAATGGAAACTCCAAAAGCAAAACTGATCCCTTCCAGCCCCCAAACAACTCTTGATACTTGGGTTCCAATAAATGCAAAAATATGTTCCTTCCACCTCTGTGTTTTCCATTTTATGGAATTTTTCCTTTATATTGTACAGATCATCAACAGACATTTACAATTTCATACTCAGCTGCAACTTAAACATTTTGGTGTTTCTACTCTGTAGAAAATTGTCACCCTTACCAGGGCTATGTGGCTGTTGTTCCAGGTATTGTTATCAACCAGGGTTGTGCGGTTAGCCATTCCTGCGATCTGATAGCCGTAGTCCCACCACGACATCACTCTGGCGTGCTCGTCTGTGTTTTGCCTCAGCCAGTAGTAGGCTTCTCTGAAGTCATCTAGGATATTCCGAGTGCTGGAAAACAAAGAGTTTGTTTTATTCACATCGGTACAAATGCCAGTGACAAGTCAACTGCACCGTTCTACGTCTGGTCTCGCAATTAAGGGTTTTCTTATGCGTTCAGCTCCCTTTGAGGGATTCAGCCACAAGTGGTCATAAGTTTGAACCCACTAACAGCTGAACGGCCAGAAGCTGAACTGCTTTGGAAGATGTGACTAAATGCATTTACGGTCATATTCTGAAACCAGTTTTCCCAGTTGTCTCAAAAACCTTTTTTTTTTTTTTTTATAACCCATCTTTATTGGCTTTGGATAGGATTATTCTTATGTATTTACATAAAGTATTTCAGAAAATGTTGTATCTTTTTGAAAATTAGAGTATTAAGAATTTTTTATTCAGGTGACAATTCTACCTTGATACAATAAGAAGTTACTAAGCTAAAGCAAATGGCTACTGCAAAAGAAGTAAAACCACTTTTTGCCCTTTTAATTATTTTCAGTCCTGTATATCTTACCCGTCATGGTTATAGGAAGCGAGGACAACGCTGGGGCTGGAGTATGCATTGCTGGTTACCCAGGTACAGTGAACAGCAAACATCATCAACAACATCAGCATCAGCATAGTGACGATGTTTTTGATATTGGGACCCAGCCCTTCTTCTGTTTTTTCCTGTTCAGATACGTGTTTTCTCACTTTGCCTGCCTGAACAAACACAAATATATCTGCTACAGCAACTTTTATCACCCCTAACAATGGAGTCCTTTTTCTTCACCCCACGCTACAATGCTACAGGATACTATAAAACCAGACCAAGTCGTAGCATAAATTAACTAAGTATGCACAAGAATAGTTTCACAATCCAGCAACTTGAGAAAATGGACAATGCTGTGACTGCATCTTTCAGAATTAAAAAACCCCAAAACTACTGTATGAGGGTCAAAGCACAACTTCCTTGGTTTGGCCTTTTTTTAAGGCAGAGCAGAAAAGAGCAAGGGGGAAACCCAAGGTTCATGCTTTGTCAATATAACAAAGCCTAAGAGAGAAAAAAAATTAGTATTCTAACAGTATTTTCTTCATGATGAAGAGAGTATGCAAGTTTATGAATAGAAATACTTTTTCAGAAAACACATTCTTTAATTTCACCATGTCTTAAAGGATATACAAGAGGGAAACACTCATTGACACAGCACTGCTATCAGTAGCTAATGAGAGCGAGCAGCTGCCTGCCATCACCTCTAGAGACAGTTGGGTCAAGCGTGCACACTTTCTCCAGGTTAAAGCCTCATCACCCATCGAGCTAGAGGGAACCACTAATACACGTACACCATTTTCCCCCCCCCCAGGAGAACAGTTACATCTTATTGGAGAACATCAATACTTGTTCTAAACTTAAATGCTAGTGATTCAGGCATCTAGTGGCATTTAAGATATAATGACCAAATGAAAATGTAAAAAAATAAGCTGTTTTCTAAGTTTTGCTCTCTCCCTCACCTTATCATACAGGTTGCCAGGGTTCCTTTTGTCATCTTCATCACTGCTGTCCTCTATTGGTGGATTTTCCCTCTTCATATCGTCACCCAAATAACGCTCAAAGACATTGGAGAATGCAATTGCAGAGAGCATACACACCACTGGAGTCAAAGTGAGCATCAGTCGAACCATCACACCAGCAAAGTAAACGGCGCTGATAGCGTACAGAGCCACTGCAAAGGAACAAATCTGCTGATGACAAGAAAATAACACTTGCTCTGACTGCACACCCACACGATCCCTGTAAAACTAGTTCTGCAAGTGGGTTAAGCGTATGTGTATGTAAAGACTTAAGTGTGCATCTTGCATTTCATTGCTTTTCATTTTACAGAGAGAACATTTCAAGTAACGTTTAACCCCTCAAAGAAATTCATTTTGACAACTGTTAACAATAACACAGCCCCATTTCATATTCATTAATAATGTGTCAGAAGATACTTTATTAGTGAATTTTAATAGCACACACCAAAAATACAACTGGAATAATAAGCAGCTTCATTTGATTAAAAGGGTCAAATAGCCTTAGACCAAACAAGTTATTGAAACTGAAAAAGCAAAAGGAATTGTTAGAAATTCATGTAAATATCATATTTTAATTTAAGTTAGAAATATCTGTGGGCAAATTGGGGGCTTGTCTACATTATAATTATATACACACAAATAATATTATACTGTAAGCCCTGTTCTGAAGCAAGTTTTCCTCCACCTCCCCCCACACCCCCCAAACAAAGGAAGATTTTAAAAATAATAAAGAATATTTAGAAAGCTTTTCTTAGAATAAAAAAAACCAACAACACAAACAAAAAAAAACCGAATAAACCTGCATACACTGGTTAGGAACATCTATTTTTCAAGTAATGGTGGCTATTCCTCATGTGCTACAGTTTAACAATACACTTCCGTGAAAATTTGCCCTGGAAATCATGAAGGGACACTTAATTTATCAGATTACATTACGTAAAGATTTTCTACTTTGCAGCAAAGCAGCAGCAGCAAAAAAAAAAAAAAGCAGCTCTTTGTTCTCACTCCCAGGGATCTTTATGCTGACTTAAATGGATGATGCAGCAGTGGGAGGCTGAAAGCGAGTTGCCCAGCACTGCTCTTGACAAGGACTCACTGTAAGCCAGAGAGAAGGGAATTCTCCAGTCACTCGTTTTAAATAGGCAACTTTTAATCATCATCTTTAAATGCATCCTTTTAAACCTTTTTTAGAACAAGCCCTATACCAGCTTTGAGCAAACAGAAACAAAACAGAATCAAGTTGAAGGCAAGGTTTTTGAAAACAAGTTTTAAAATATTTTCTCTTACCAAAGACTCTTTCATCATTGATGTTTTTGATACAGAACCACAGCCCTGCTGGGAAAGTACACACGAGAATATGCAGATCAAAAAAGAAGGAAACCCATGTTGTAGGCTGATGCTCAGACACAGAGGCAATGATCGGGATGTGAATTTTCGCATACCTTTTTTAAAAAAAATTCAGTTCAAATTATTTTGAAAAGATAAAGTTATTAAAACTTGTAAACATTAGGAACTCTGAAATTAATTTCAAAGGAAGCATTTCAGTTTAAAATGGCAAATGCTCTATTCAGCAGAAATCTGATGAAATTTTTTATACCAAAAAATTCCCCAGGTCTCACTGTAGTACTTGGTGTATAGAGTTACTTAAAACACCAATACAGAGGATTATTTTCATAGTAATTAAAGGAATTAATTTGTTATATTATAGCTAAATATGAAGCCAAATTCACCAAAACAAAACCATGCAGCTCTGGAAGCCCCATCATTACATTTTGAAGAGCTAATCATCCATGCCACTAAGTCTGTCGGATTTTCAACGCTGTGTTTTGAAAACTCTCCACTACACAGAATACCTTCATTTTCTCAGTACAGGAAGTTATAGTACGAAATACCAGACCAGCTAACGATGCCTACACATTCTTTTCAATGCTGAAAAAAAGCCGGGCCCTGTCTACACTTGCAAATACACATCAGCTAAACAACATGTCAAACAGTCAGTGTGGACAAGGACAAAATCGTGTTCTTCTATATTAAAGGCAGCGACACATACGGAGCTAACTTGGAGTGCTACATGGCCGCTTGGTGAGTTCTTCACTGAGATCTAGTTCTCATTCAAAACTGCACTGTGTGTTTTAACAAGGTATGACTTTCTAATGTAGACAAGCCCTCAAAAGTCTAATGCTTCTTATATACATAGACCACTTATAGGCAAAAGAACAACATCTATATGTTCCTCAAATAAAACCAAGGCTTCTTTACTGACATCTGTTTTAATACACTCATTACAAAGTTGGTACATAATCCTGAACGAGCTGGAATTTGGAGGCTGAAAAAACTGAACTGCAAAAGTTTGAATTTCTCCTGTCCATGCTTTTAACCTTAAAAAAAATCTGCCAATTGAATTTCACCTTAAATACATTTACCTGAGAAAAATATCCTCAGTGTTCTCCTAGCTGGCTAACGAATTCAACAGTGGATTTTTAAAGGTTAAATAAAACCAAAAGATTAACTAATGTGGGTTTTAACCCATGAAAACACACATGAATAAACCAGAATTGTTCAGATTAGAAATCTGTATACACAAAACAGATGCACTAACACAATAAACAGGCAACATGCAAGGTCATATGTGCAACATCTTTGTGATTCCATGCAATATTGCGCAATGAAAACAGTCGAAGTTTAAGACTCTTAGTAATTTTTAAATGTCTCCTCAAGTGTTGGTACAGCTTTCAGTTATTTTATCCTGAAGAAGCACTAGAGTTTCATATAGAAAACCACAGCATTACATATTCAGAGACTTTCAAAGAAGCAAAATATTTAATAGACAAATTAGTGAAATGGTTGCAAAGATCACGAAAGAATTACTAGAAATGCTCTCTTTAGAGAAGTCATTAAAGCCCACTCTATTCTCCTTGACTGAAATACTAAATGGCTTTGAGGATGAGGAAACCAAAAGATTAACAGTTTTCAGTACAGTGTTATTGATATCTAAATCCTTATATCCTTACTTACCCAGTGTCCCACAATGAATAAAATCTGCCGCTCCAAGGAGCGATATAACCTGAAAAAGAGAAGAGGAAAAACCCATTTGCTGCCTCAGTATTTAAAAGCAGTATTTTTTTACTCTCCTTCAAATTGTAGCAGAAAACCAAAAAAATTTCATTGAACTTGTAATATGTATGAACCAGACCTACTGCATTAGGCAGGCTATAAAGTCAACCAACCACGGAAGTAGCGTTAGAAGAACACACTCTTACAGGATCGCATTGGACTCACTGAGTGTCAAGACACGCGCACCTCCAAAACTCAAAGCAATGCAATAATAAATAAAATATTTCTCAAAGGATGTAACAGATAATGACCTACAGTCTGTAAAGAAGTATAAGAAAAAGAAAACATAATTGCTAAGAAAGTATTTAATTTTTCTGAAATGCCTTAGCAGGAAACTGGGAACAATCTATGGCCAAACACTAATACTCAATGAAACTCTGGTTTCCTATTGTTTCTCTACTGATGGATCTACACGTGGCACGGAACATAAATGCTGCTACTAGGTATGCTGCTAAGCTTTTTATGTTACTTGTTTTTAAACAATGCCTTTAGACACTTGAATTTTGTAAGACGAAGAGAGTATCATTATCAGATAAAAGATAAAAAATATTATTAAAAGTCATTAGCAAGATTCTTTTTCAGTTTTATTTCCACTTTCCTCGAAACCTTTTCAGCTCCCTATGAAGACAGGCTGAGAGAATTGGGGTTGTTCAGCTTGCAGAAGAGAAGGCTCCGGAGAGACCTGACAGCAGCCCTCCAGGACCTGAAGGGGCTACAGAAGAGCTGCTTACAAGGGCGCGTAGCGATAGGACAAGGGGCAATGGTTTTAAATGAGAGCAGGGCACATTTAGATGAGACATCAGGAAGAAGCTCTTTACTGTGAGGGTGGTGAGACACTGGAACAGGTTGCCCAACACATTCTATGATTCTATGAAATAAAAGATTGCTTTTTCTTCATCTGAGGAAGGAAGTATGATATTTGACCGCCAAGGAAGTCTAGCATAGAATCAGAAGAGAGAAGTGAGGCACCCAGGGATGGCAGCCAAGCAAAGACAAGCTTGTGCTTGTGAAATTGGGCAGAACTGCCTTGAAGACTGAAGGATGAATCCCAGTAGTAAAATACAATTTAGAGATTAATTCCAGTCATAGGGAAATCAGATTCAAGCATTTCAGAAAGTAAGCCATCTGATCTTAACCTACCAATGCTATTCAGAATAGATTAACTATACATATCTTCATAATGCATTTTGGCTATGGTTATGTTCCTCATTCAGTCTGACTTCTTAGATCATTATATGGATTGTGGACAGACCCAAAATATTGGGATTGTGCCATAAAGTGTTTTTTCTACAGCCCAGAAACCACAATGAATTCAAACACAGAGAAATGCAGAGTAACAGAGGCACTAGTTTGCTATGGCACTGCCAACAGCTACTTTAGAGTAAACCAAACGTTGATCATTTAGTTTACCTCTTCCAAAGGTACACTAGTTTCACATTTATTTACCTGTGTATGTCAAATAGATGACACTCAGGAATACAATACCAGCTGCTAGTGAGACACCCAAGAAGAACAATGTTTGAAACTCTTGCTTTGTTAATCTGTCTCTCAGGTACTGCAAAAACGCATATGCCTGCAGCAGTGCAAAAACACCTAAAGGAAGAGGAAAGTTTCAGTTTAAATGCTCAAAAGTAGTAACATCTGCTAAAGCAATCAGCATACTTTGGCTATATTTGAACGAGAACAATAAACATACAGTACACCCTTTTCATCTAAGAACTAATATAAAATCACTTTCTGATAAAACAGCCTTTAATACTGAACAGGTACGATAACTTCTCGCAATGATAAAAATTTGCAACGAGAGAAAATACGCTCCAAAACATTCTTTGTGTATTACATCAAAAAGAGTTGTGGTACCCACTGCTTCTTCACTTCTAAATTGAACTGGGTAAGGACAAGAATCACCCGAAAACTAGATTGCATCGTTTATGACAAAAACACAGGTGAACATACCCTAGAGTTGATGAAAAATTGTCACAGACCCCAGGCAACACACAAAAAAGGCTAATGTAGAAATACATGTAAATTAAATCTACTGAACAAAACAGGAGGATTTAATGAAAGACAGACAAAACTAAAAACAACAAACAAGCATTAAGTGATAAAGACAACTGAATTATACAAAGCCAGTGTTGAAACACCAGAATTCACTGGGTAAACACCCCACACCCTCAAAAAGGTTGTTCAGAGTTTTAATATCAAACCAGAACTTGGACACAATTTTCCTGTTGTTATTCATTTCAGTGTATACAATCACATCAATCCAATGATTAGTCCATGCAAAAGTGAAAATTCACTGGTAGCTGGCAGAAGAAGAAAACAGAACTCAAGTGTATGGTCTTTCTTCAATTTAAAAGTAAATTTGAGGTACACAATGTCGAAATTCACTAGTTCTGAACTCCTAGAGAAAGAAACACACTCTACTCACTAAATAGATGAAAAATTTTTCAGATGAAAAACATGGCTTGATAATCTTTACTCTTTCCATTATATATGAATTGTTGAAAAAACATCTCCAAATTTTAAAGTATTCTTCTGGTACATTTCATTGGTGTTCCAACTGCTGCTCCAAACACATTTTACTAAGTGTCTACAGATAACAAAAAGCGTGAGGAATGTAACAGACTAAACACAAACACACAGAAACAACGTATGCAGTTAAACATAAACCTATCAGTTGTAGCAGAGGTTATTGCTGTCAAGAAATCAAGATGTCAACTACTGAAAAAATCAACTTACTTAAAAGAAATAAAATCAATCAATAAGACTGAAAGCCCTTGTTTAAAAATCAGCCGCCTGATTTGTAATTAAAGAAATTAGTATTTAACCTACTTTGAAAAATCATAGAAGACTATCATCTCTAAAACCAAATTGCTCAGTGAAAACTGTGTTTACCAATAGGAGATGTTTCAACTGTAGAATGCCTGGAGGCAGGATTACATGGTGAAGCAGGAGGGATTATAAACGTGTGAAATAAGTGCTTGTCAGAATGCGTAACTGATCCAGTGTTATGGAGGCATTTTACATCCATTAGCTCATACAAAGGGGGATAATGTGTCCATTGGAAAGAAAACTTCCCTACAGACACTAAATTGTACCTAACAATGTGGTTTGTTAGTATGTGTTCTTTCCAACACATGAAACAAAGCAGCAAGGGTTTCAGGTTTTCTTGTGCTAAGGAGGTTGCTTGGAAGCAGACATTTGATTTTCTTACCTGCAGCTGCCATGTGTTCACTTGTTCTAATTGGCTGAAATCCCACGAAAGGTATCTGCATTGATAATATTAACCCCACAATGTAGAAAGTGCTGTATGCTAGGGAGAAATAAAAAAGAAAAGGAAAAAGAAAAAAGAGTGAGTAGAGGGAAGAGAATGATGAGAAGAAAATGAATACACACATTTTAAAAAGCATTGGTTCTGCAGGAGAGTCTGTTATCCCACTAACTTCAGTGACATTAAAACGGACCTGTATCGTTCCAAATATTTCAGCCATCCTGATTGCTTTCTCCTCCTTTGAGTAGAGTAAACCTGCCTATTGCATCCAAATTTAGAGAAAGTAGCCAAGTATTCTTGTTCCTTTTTTCTCCTCCAAGGGAAACAAACCATCTCCTTAAGACATTCTAGCTTGGACATAGTTCTCTTCCCATCTGATAACAAGTGACACAAGAAACTTTCTATATAAGGAGAAATTGAAGGGACCAGACTCAACAAAGTGAAACATTTAAAGAGTCTACCACCTATTTAGAAAACGCAAAGAGGTATGTTTGTTCTTTTTTTACCACAAGAGCAGAGGCATGCTGAAGAACTGAAAAGCAGTAAAATTAAAAATTAATATTAAGCGTATTAATGGAACTAGATCAACCATGGAGACTCATAACATGCCAGAAAGAAGAAGTCAATAACATAATTAATATTAATAACATAAGTTATTATGCATGCCCTAAGACTGAGATATACTTTTTTTGGACTGGGTTTTGGTCCTCAGTATTCCAGGATGAAGAAGAGAAGGGAGAAGAGAAATACCAGCTCTGAACAGCCATGAGTCTGATTACATTTGAAGGAACCAGTCAATTTAAAGTCCAAACGAAATTTTTTTTCCTTCAGTGGTGGACTGCAATAATCCACCTTCCAGATTCCCACATGCTCCTAGAAATCATAAAGAACTGCCTTTGTTACAGCCTTGATCTTAGGAACAGATCCCCATTCTCAGACAGTCCTGTGCCCTCTTACGTCACTGAAATACAGTTTTTGAAGAATTTACTAAAACATAAATCATTTACTGTACCTTGAGAGTGCTACAACACTGCCATCCTGTGGAAGTTCGATGATTGGCATAAATCACTACATTTGCTGAGATCGTTGTAAATCATCATTTTTAAACCTGGTTCTGCAACTGTTATATTTTCTATGCTCACTTCCCTCTCCCATCCCTTACTCCGAATTCTTTCAAATAGCTATCACATGTCTGCCTGGCATTTAAGAAAAAAAAAAAGAAGCCAATTTGCATAGCAACATAATTTTTTGGGAACTTGGATACATCAAGATTATACATCATCATCAAACTTTCCAGGTTCCTTTATATTCTGTTTGCAAAGCCTTTGAAAAAAACAAGTAGTAAATTTTGATTCCTGCAAGCTACTCGTATGGTTACAACTTTGACTGGGTCAAAACTAAAAACATTCTGACCTACTGTAAATAAACTCATTTTACACACAATTTTAGTTGCTGTACAAACACAGGAAGTATTTACTGAAGAACTTCTCCAGAGAGTACAATTAAATAATTGACCACATACTTTCAATTAATAGATTGTAATCATCTGAAGTTTTAGAATACTGAAGTAGTTGGTATAAATACATGCCTGTTCACTATTTAAAGTATAAAATCCAAGACCTAGAACAAGGAATTACTGAAAGTTTTAAATTCTGGAAGATCCTTAAGTGTTTTGTTGTTAAATATTCTGCAAAGTCTACAGAACTTAAAAAATAGTACAGAAAAGAAATGAAATTTAAGTGAAAATTACCAAGTTCCTTAAGTGTGCAAGCATGACTTATATCCATATTGGTGCCTTTCCAAATGTATATCCATTTATTTTTTAAACATATGATAAACTACGATAATAGTAAATAACATCAATGGTTCTTGTATCTGAATAAAGAGATTATTTATCTAGGCAAGTGCTGCTAATACATTGGAATTGTAAGCATCTGCTCTTTATTATTAAGCTAGTAAAATACTGTCCACTGTCAAGAAAAAAAACCCAAACCAACACAGCTTAAGCTTTCAGCTGCATGATCATCACTGATGCCAAGGAGGTCAGAAGCTATCTGACTGATCAATTCACCTGCCTGTGAGCCACCAAACATTTCAAAACTGGCAAAAAGGTCATATTCTGGGAAATTGTTAGTCATTGGATGATTCTGAATTACACTGCCAGACACATCACATCAGGCCCCATTAGCCTTTTCTTTAGTGTATGAACACCCATACAGAAAACGTATATGAGGAAACTATTTTTAAGACCATGGTGCTGCCAAATATTTTTCTCTACATTTTTGTTCTTATGTTAGATTACACATTCATCCATCACAAAAGCTAAGCTCGTGCTAGTTTAAAAGAAAATTAGAGCAACTGATCTAGAGATTAAACCCTCCAAAATTCTCAGTAACTCGACTACACGTTTTACTAGCTGCTGTCAGTTGACAATAATTTACAAAAGTTTAAGCTGCACATTGGTAGTTTTTTGAGAATTATGAGGCGCTGCAGGTACGGCAGCAACCGCTTATCACAGAAACACCCAAAATATCTTTATTCTCCCTATTTCAACGACCTTTTGTAAATTATTCTTCCTATCTGAATAGTTTGGAAGTGAAGCACACTTGAACTTCCTCTCAGAAGCGCTTGAACGTTCTTACCTGTTAAACAAAGCTAGAAATCACATACTAATGCAAGACACACAGAATTCCTGTGAAAGCTTAAATCAAGCCAGCAGTCGCAGTGAAACAGCAGAGCAGCAATCACATTTTCGTTCTGACAGCTCTGCTGAAGCACATCTCCCTCGCAGCTGAAGGGCAATAACGTCTCAAAACACGGCAGCTATTTGCAAAGCAAACATCTGCAAAAAACCTTTAATTTGTATGGACCTGCAGGACTCGGCTCCCCAGATGAGCTCAAAGACAAGTTCATCGAAAGCCGAAAAAGCAAGAGAACTTATTCTTTATTGTGTCTGGTTACTGTATCGCCTCAGGATTTTATAATTAGCGGATTTAATTTTCTCTTGCCTAACTCATAGAAATTGGAAAATGAAAATATTCAATAAAACAATTTTGAAGGAAAAACATATTACTTTCATCTTAAGTTATGAAGAAGTAGTTAATGAAGAAGTTAAGTAAAACCAACATGAAAAATTAAAGATGGGTTAGAGCTCCTCCTCCCCCCTTTTTTTAAAATGAAAAAAATCCATTTCTGAATTACATAAAAAAGATTAACAAAGATGCACAAAATCAATATTTATAGTTTTGGTAACAAAAATACAAAACTAAATTTGAATAAATTGAATAATTATTACATTATATAATGATTCAAATATATAATGTGAAAATAGTAATTTCTCTTAACAGACACTAAAAAGCCCTATCAAAAAAATTAAAACACAAAGATAAAACAGTATTAAAATAAGTAACGAAAATATATTTACAAATATGAAATGCCCTGTGGTATTACTCTTCAATTCATACTACGTCCTCAAACTACCTATTGTAAGGATTTCACATTAGGGAGTCAAAAATGTTCTCGCTAACTTATAAATCTTTGAATACCCTAATTGCTTATTATTTATTTATTCACACACCTACATCATGGCTAATTGATTTAACCAGTAAAGTATCTGTAAAAAATTTAAGAGCATTTAAATATCAGGCAAATGAACTAAAAAGTTAGTAACCCGAGATCACTAAGATGACTCCTAAAAGTACAGGGAAGGCTGACCCATTAACCCAGTAAAATCTTAAGGATTCACGTGGAGTAGACAGTCTTAAACTACTTTTTAGTCTAGGTTATATAAAACACACATGGCTGCTTAAAACTCCCTTTGTCTTTTCTCATATATATCACAATACATGCTATAAGTTTGCATAATTTCTGCTGTGTAACATTCTAAAAACAGCCCTTGTTTAACATACAAGGAAAAGACAAAAATATGAAATATTATTACAGACACATACACAAAATATAAAAATATATTAAAAGGATTCTACAAATGCTAAACCATCCAATTATTATTATTTTTTTCAGTGTACTAGGAAGGAGAAAATTAAATGAGGAGCTACATAAATGAAATTCTAGAAGTGTGAGTACACTTTAACTCCTTATTTCCACTTTGTAGAGAATAACTGTAATCAGTAACTAAATTAATAAAATGCAACCTGATAGGCAATTAGTTAATTACCGCTTGATACAAAACACATCGGTATAATTAATCTCATATCTCATGATTAAGCATTTGAGAATGACTGTTCAAAGAACAAAACTTACCAATGTAGACCCTCCTGCTGTATCTCTGCATCAGCAACAGAACAAATACATGCAGTGGAATAAGGTTGATGATGAAAACATACCCGCCCCATGCAGAGACCTGGGAGAAATGGAACAGGAAATTAGATGTGAGAACACCTGCAAATCCTTAAGATAGCCAACGCTGGATTTAGACATCCTGATGGTTTAACAGAAAAACAGAAACCATGTCTAGAGGAGCAGTGAGAACCATTAGCATTACCACCAGAATCTCTCTTTATGTTTATTATAAAAACACCACACATATGTAAAACCGTATCAATGGCATGGTGACCTTGTCATGACAGCAGCACTCAAGAAGCACTGGTACAACGCACATAGAAACACCGATGTACTGACACACCACGACGGGATCAATATATCCCTGACTGCTGGTTTAAATATGATGTAGTGAGCTACCACTATCTAAATTTCTAACATATTTAGAATGGCTAATGTTGACTAGGCAATCTGTATTTTAACACGTCCTCCTGTCAAACTGCAGTCTAGACTTTTCCCATATGTACCATGCCTGCCCCAGATCTGCATTTTTAGAAGGCAGCAGCTAATGTGGTTTTCACTTTAATTGTACTTTAGAGCTTAGATTCGTGAAGATATTTTTAAAGCCCTAAAATCCAGAAAGAAACCCAAATGACTATGTTCTGTAGAATGGATGCTAAAATAAGGAAAAGGCCAAGTACTACTGGTTTTTGATACTAACACTGCAAAACTTGGCGTTTCAAACTCTGGGCGAACTGATTCAGACAATGCGAAACAAGTAGAATGGAAATCTATGTTTTCGAGAAACTCATTTCAGATTATGGTGACCCTGTTGCCATACAACTAGCATGAAGTATCATGGTTTACACAGGCTAATTTATTTAACTGAAGAAAATCTGTATGAAGCGAGCTAAGACAGAATAGAAAAAGAACAAATGTGCAATTAGGACACTGTCATATTTAGGGAACGGTTTGAATGAAGCAGGTAACAGTTTGTATGGACCAGAGACTTGCATCTCCATTTATCAAAATACTAAACCAAATTCGAACACTGAAGACTATACTGTACTGAAGATGCACTTTGGAACTTTTCAGACAAAACAAAAGCATCCTGAGATTAGCAAAAAGAGGAAACACGCTATTACTCCGGCTAGGAATGCTTCAGTGTAAAGATTTGTTTTATTTAACTTTCTGGTCATAAAAAGCTATTTGAAGCAGAAGTTGCTGAAATCAAATAAATGCTAAAAGTTCAAATTCAAGGGAAAAAATGCTTCTCCTTATGGTATGCAATACAATACTATGAGTCAGATTACCACAGGAAGTTAGGTATATATTTTAAGCAGATTTATTTATCAAGAAAGACTTCTGACAGTCCACACAATATCAGGGAGCTGCATCCCAAGTTCCCCATGCAAGGATTGACTCTTACCATCTCAAAATTGTGATTTCTTTTTTCAATTTACACTGAAAGCATAACTAATTCTACCAGAGAACACAAATTAATACTACATAATGAATAGTACAATTATTCCCTCTCCCCAAAATTTAAGCAAAATGTCTAGAAGAGCATCTTAAAACTCTTTCCAAAGGGAAATAAAATATATGGAAATCCTACTACTAGGATGCAGTAGGCAGGCTCTACAAGCAGTTCAATCACCTAATCACAAAGGCTAAGCTACAGACAAACCTTAACCTTTCACTAGCTGACAGCACTTGAAAGTAAAAGAAAAAACACTATTTTGTATTCCAGGATTGAATGTCATGATTGGTGACATCAATTCTACAAGTTCTGTCACCACACGCACAGGATCACATCCCGTTCCTCTTGTACAACCCCACAGACCAAGATACTAGTCAGACTACGATGGGAAGAACTTGTTATTCTGTCATTTTTCAGCAGTAAAATTGTAGAAGTATTTTATTGGTTCTCTGTATATTTATGAAGAGCACTTTCAGAGGCAAGTGTTGACAAAATATAAAAAAAAGACTATGGTACATAAATATACAAACTCAAAAACGTACTTGCCTTATTTTGTACTTCACATAAGTCTGTATACTAAACCTACAGGATCTCTTTACTGTAATGCTATATAAGCAACAATGCCATGTATAAATTAGTGGCTGTTTATTTAATGGCTTGGCAAAAGGGAGGAGAAACGGGAAGAAATTAATGCACTCTTAACACAAGAGAGCTATCCCCTTTGGCAACATATAAAGGGCTATTATCTGCTACATTAACAGCAAAAATCTCCCAGAAAATCCAATGAATATTAAAGCTAGAGGAAATCAAGGCAGCATCCAGAAATCTTGGAATTAACCTTGAACTTTATGTTAAGGGATGCAAAACAGTTCCTAAGTTCCTCCTTCTTGCCTAGCGACCTTACTGTAGAAAAGCAGTATCTGAGACCTCAGTCTTAACCAACACCAAACAATTAGCCTGACTGTCCCACCATTGACTATTTTGAGGCTAACTTAATTTTCCTATAGCCACAAAAGAAAAAAAAAAAAAAGGCATATCAGTTAGTGATAAAAAGGACTTTTGACCAATTTGTACAGGAAACCTTAGATGTTTCAAGAGATGGAGGAGGGGGGAAACCAATCCCCTCCATTTTGCTATTAGTTTTATCTCCTCAATTTTACTACCAGTTTTCCCCTCTGTTAGCCCTTAGGAATATCTTGGCATTAGCCTCCAATTTCATAAAATAAGACTGAAAAGGGATTTTATAATAATTCAATCTGACTCTGAATTCATTCAGCTGTTCTGGTGGTACGCTTTACTTTATTGTATAATTAGACCTAAAGAAATAATTTTCAAAGTTATGTAAGTGTAACTTTGTCCATACATTTTAAATATTATTATTGCATTTTTAGCAATAATGATACACAGACATATGAATATCAAAATTACACCTTAATTCACCTACACCGAAACAAAAATTCCACTAAATCAGAGCACCTGTTCACATCACACAATGTATTTCTAAGCAAATCATATTTAAGAGTTCTTCCAAGAAATTGTTTTCATGGCATTTACTTAAATACTTTAATTTCTGAAATATTGATTATGGCTTTTTACTCATATATTTAAAGTCTTAATAGTAATATGAAGCAACAATTTTACAGTATGACTCCCATAAAGATTACAATCTCCTCCGTTCTTTGTCAACATATGGATTTTGTAAGCCCTACTCAAATAGTTTCACTATTATATATAGGACTGGCTTACCATGTAAAAGTAAGATAGACAGCAGCAGATTGTCCAAAAGACTGACCCAGTTTTCACAGACTTCACCTTTAAATATAAAAAAGGTATTTATGAGTGACAAGTACTGGACAATATTCCAAAATTTCATTCCAAAACAACTAGCTGTCAAGAGAACTTCTTTACCATGTGTCAAAGTATATTTGTGTTTCTGATGTCCATAAAACCAAACCACAAGTGCAATTCATTCACACAGAACAGCTTACATCTCTCTCTAAAGCAGAGGCAGGATTCAATATAACTCTCTGCATCAAGATCTGTGGTAGAAAAGTAGTTGTAACACCACTGTGCTACATTCTCTGAGACCTTAAGTCACTTTATAAGGGTCGACTATTCACAGCTTACTTTGGCTGGCATCAGACCCAACTCTGCAATTGTAGATAAAAGAGCTATTCCGTAATTTTGAAAAACTCACTTAGGGTTAATGAGAGCATCTAGGTACCAGTAAAGGTATAGCAGGCTCCATAAACTGGCCCAGGAGTATGATTTTGTCCAAAACTGATGGTGATCATTGTGGTGTGGGAATAAGAAACAAAACCCCAACTTAAATAAAGCTAGAAAGTTACCTGTAAAATATGTTTGATTCACGCATAATTCTGCAAGAGTTCATGCAAACATTACACTATGCAGTTCTGACTTCAATCAAGCTACAAAGCTATCTATAAAATATGTCTGATTCACACACGATTCTGCAAGAGTTCACGCAAACATTATTGTACCATGCAGTTCAGTTAAAGATGAGTTCCACAGGAACAGACAAGTGCTATCAAATCTCAATTGTTCTAAAGTAACAGTGTAGGTTGATTCTATTATTGTTATCAAACACAGCACACCTTTACAGCTGCAGTTTCTTCCAATTCCAGATTTGAAAAAAAAGGGCATTTAAGTAACACCAGTCACTCGACCATGAAAAACTTTAATTCCTTTCCATTATACTCCTACCAACAACATCCCGTTTGACACATTCTAGAGCTAAAAAACGAAAAGTAGAAATCTTGACAAAATCATGGGAAAAGCTGCAAAATTGTCTACATACATGGAGACACTCAAAATGAAAAGTATATGCATGCAAGGAGCACATGAGGGACCGCATCATGCAGTGTCTATGCTAAGAAACAATACAGTTATGCTATTTATGGCATTTCCAAAATAGAAGCAACAGTCCAGAAAAACTTCAGCTTGCCTAAGCTCCTTCATACAAAACTGCACTACAGATGCAATTTTACATACAGATTAAGGAGTGACAGACAAGCTGCACTAACAAGATGGCTAATTAAAAGACATCAGACTATTTTTTAAGCATGCAAACATATTAATATCTTGCTCTGGACAGCTTTGGGTATTTAATTTGAATGCTTAAGTGAAAGCCCACACCCTCCAAGCAGTCAAAAGCTTCTCCAGAAGGCAAGTCAAAGCACTCTGCATTCAGAGTCTACTGCCTTTCTTCAGCTAAATACAGAGGCTAAAGTTTGATGCTCACATAATACTAATACCTCCAAGCCGAAAACCAGAAACAACCCTTTTGTTTACTTCAAATTTGCAGACTTAGCATAATTATTACTACTACTATAGGACGCACATAGGTCAGCTGAACAGTACTTTTACACAGCAAATCAAAGAGCAGTTCAGATCACATGACTTCTCAGCACTTGCCTGATCAAGAGCCAAGGGGAGGAAGGACAAAGAGGGAGGAAAATCAGAATTCAATGCATTCTAAGAAAAATCAGTCATTTGGTTGGAGGAGGAACCAAAAAACGTTTCCAAAGCAGAAGACTCGGCAATTACTTACCCATAAATAGTATGTGAACTGCAGTGCAAAAATAGCTATGCCTTCATTGTCAAATGATCCTGCTACTGATCGGGATATGTAACCTGGAACTATGGCAATAAAACAGGCAGCTAAAAGCCCTGCTCCCTGGTTCCACAGTTCTCTGGTGAGCAGGAAAGTAGAAATAGCTGTAAGGCCGCTAAAAACTGGTGCTAGGAACACGCATACATCTCTTATATGGACTGTCACATTAAGCATGTTTAAAATCCAATGTATAAGGCCTGCTGTCACCATCAGTCCTGGGTATACCTAAAAGAAGGAAATAGAGAACAAAAATCCACCAGGTTATTGCAGAAAACGATCACGGCAGGTTGATTTGCATATAATTTGTAATGAAATGGTCATTTCTTAAGCTGATATAAGCAGTGAACAGGTAAATCTAATGGAATTATTTTAATACTACTTTAATCATATTTTGTCAACACTGCTGAACACTAGAGGTTTTTTAAATTTTAGCTAAATGCTAACAGTTACATATAATCCATTTTGTAAATGAATAAGCAGCATACAGATAATATCCTATCTTGCTTGACATTTATCATATAATGAGAAGAATTTGTTGTTAAGGTATGGAAGCAGAAGCTAAAGTTTGCAAAAGAATTTCAAGCTGGCTAACAGCTTTAACAAAAAAACAACCCCAAAGACCTGAGACAACAAGAAGAAATTCAGCAACATTTCCCAGCCCTATCCACTTTCCTCCAAAATATACCATGTCACTCTTCTTATTACCCACTGAGAAAGAAAATGTGCATCAACAAGATTTTTTTTTTTTTTTAAAAAGCTGAAAAGTTGATGGCCGGTCCGTTGATTATGACATATTTATAAGACACACATAAACACCTTCGGATATGAAGGACTAAAATAAAGTCCTATAAAACTGAATTAATATATCCTCCAGGAAAGGCAGCATAGACTTACACAAATCTATTGCACCCATCACACACTATTTGAGAACTTTGAAATCTTCTTAATAAGTATTCTACCCTCCCACACTTATGAACGTTAGAAAAATCAATATGTACTAGAAAAGTTAATATGTACTTCACTTGCCTTAGTTTCTTTCAAAAGTTAAGATGAGGGTTGTACTAAATTAAATTGACAGAATGCTCCCCTGCATATATCCTTGAGAGCTGGTTTACAAGATAAACTATTAAAACATAAGATACCATGTGACTTGCAAAATAATGTATACAATCAATATTTCAATTCTATTTCAAAAGGGTTTTTCTTTCATAAGACAGGCATGGAGAAAACACATATATATGTTACATAAAAAGAATCTCCGGTACCCCTATGATACTAAAACAAATGGCGATCTAATCACTGCAAAAAAAAATAATAATCCATAAATGCATTTAAATGATATGTATTAAAATGGTATGTAAATAAGTTTTAATGCATTTTCACACTAAAGCTATTCTACCAATGAATGATATTTATATTCTGATTTGATAATAGTGTTTTGTACACCTTTCCTGCCTTGTAACTTGCACTACCAGTCTTGCCCATTCCTGATGCTTAATCCAAGTGACCCAATGATTTCATTTCAAAAGGTCTTTCTTTTCCAGTGAAATCCTAACATTTTCCATACACCCATGTAGTCCATTCAACACAAGACATTGGATTAAAACTTGTGCCTTCAAAAGATTTAGGTAAATTTTTTTTTTTAAAAAAAAAATATGTATTTTTTCTTTTTATGTAGCAGAATTACAGAAATCATAATACCCTTCTTTATTACTATTAGAAGCTCATATGAAAGGAAGTAAAACTCAGTTCTGTATTTCTTGCTCACAGTATGCTTTGGGATAAAAACCAAAGCATGTTGACTTACCATCTTGGTTCCTGCAATTAAAAATTAAATCACCTTGCCATTCCCTCTGAGCCAATTTGACAATTAAAAGCATACTTTTAAGATCCACCTTATCAATGTTGAATTTGTACTGAAAGTTCAAAACACTTATTACAAAGTCCTCTTTAAATTATTATTACAATACTTACAGTTCCACCTACTATTCTTCCCAGTGGATACCATGCTCTTTCATCAAACCAATTTAAAAATTCGTAAAACCCATGAGATGCAAGATGATGCGTTGATCTATAGTTAAACCTAGAAAGAAACAGAGGAAAAGAAGAGGGAGGGTAAAAATCAAGAAATTAACTTTTAGGCATAACTTAAGTCATCTGTTTTCTATGACCTAGAAAGTAATTAAACTTCAGCATCTCATTTAGTATGTAAGTACAATGGTCGTCTCTATATCTACAGGTCTTTAGAGTAAATTACTAAGCTCTCAGTTACTAAACACTGAATTTTCTTCTTTTCTACAGTCAGTGCATATACACAGATGAAAGGTTTCAGATTTGGGGTTTATTTTTTGCAAGCATTAAAAAGTTTTCTATCACTCTGACAAACACTCCTGTCATTTTCTGCATTCCTTTTTAAAGTTAGTTTTTCCATATAGTCTACCAACCAATTATTTATTTACTACGTTTAGAATACCACTCAAGTGGAATTACAATCACGGAAAAATCAATGAAGACTCCCATTCTGAGACAGGATAGCTACCCAGGACATCTGCTGCTGCTCCATTTCACTTAACATTGAGAGGTGATGTAATGTAATAACATGCAACAAAGGGAATCAGTCTGTTTGTTGTCACTATCAAACTAATGGCCTTAACATATTCCCTTCTTTCAGTCAGTAAAAATCTAGACAACGCACAATTTCTGTAGAGGAAGTTTCCATCTTCAAAGTTCGTATATTCTCTGCTGCAGTCAATTCCCAAGCATACCTTCAGTTCAGTCTTCCACACTGCCCATATATTATATATACCATTAAATAAACCCCAATGTATTGCCAACGAGACACTAATCTTCCACTTTCCACTTTTCTGACATACAATTTTTCCAATCTGTCAAACTGCAGAGAGCAAAACTTTTCAACTATTGCAAAGTCCATTAATGCTCCAAATTAGGTATCAGATTGCTGTGAGAAGAACTGCAGTGCATGTTACCTCAAACTGCAACTCCCCCATGATCATTCCAAAGCTAAACTAATAAAGCTACGGCTATTGATGCTGTAAAATTTGTAAAGAAAGCTCATGCCTGGAAAAGCCTGAGCGAACATCACTTCTGAAACAAGCAACATTCACAACCCTCCTAGCAGGTGCTCCAATTGGAATTTAAATAACAACGTGACATTCATTAGTTAAAGAAGTACTAAAGGAATATAAATTCATTAGTTAAGTAGAAGTTCAGATGACAAAACGAAACACTGTAACAGACAACTGACTAAATGAGCAAACCACTGTGAAAGACTTCCAAAGACAGCACTAACGACGAGAAAAGCTTATGTGTACTTTTCATTTTGTCTATTTTATGCAAGTATCTGCTTACATCAGCAACATGCATCACTTCTAACGTAAACTACAAGAAATTCTTTCATATGTCTAGGATTCCCAAAATATCACAGGGTTACTTTGAACTACTTCATTTCAACACAATAAAGCTAATGTCATTCAAGACTAGAAGATCCATCAAGTTCCTACTTGTTTAATCAGTACAAGTCCAATATCTGAAGCACAACTACACAGAGGTCATGAGTAGATTTCTTCATCTACACAGTGAAAGAACAAAAAGAATTGAAATTCACATCCAGATGTCAGCAAACTTGTGTGCTTCCACTGACTGAACAGCATCAGTCAAGGGACATTACCTGTAAGTAATTAGAAAAAGAGTGCAGTATTTTTTGTTTTCAGGAACATGTTAAATATGCAGTTATATAGGATACACTAACTGGTAAAACTGTCTTCATTTTTAATCATGTTTTTCAGATTTTTAAAAGTAATTAGTCATGTTTATATATGAAAATTCAGACAAATATCAGTCATTCTGACCTAGAAATCTTTGTATCAAACAGCAATGTGACATTTGTTTCTAATAAGCCTGCAGCTATTCCCATTTGACTAGATTTCTAAATATTAATTAATCCTCCAGTTCTGAACTGTCAACTATAATGTAATTTACGAAATGCTGTACCTGTAAAATTAGCCTCTTATCTTAGTATAGCAAGGTTTATTGTTAATTTGTTTAGTGCCAAGTGCCTGCAGCACAGTACAAGACAAAGCAGGAGTTCCATGTTGCACAGGACATGTACAATCCAGCCCAGCCAGCTATGGACCGGAGTTAAAATGCACTGAAAAAACAGTCAGCGTTGTTATTCCAAAACTTTAAAAGGAAACGAGAAAGATATTTTCTAACACACGTTACCTCCAAATTTTTACATCATGTCTCAAACTCACAGAAGCTACAAAAGTATGACAAATGTTTACTTTTAGAGCATTAAAAGATCAGTTAAAGAACTGAAACAAGTAAGAAGAATAAACATTGACATTTTCCTCCCGTTTCAAACTAGCAAAGCTTCATAAGTGACTTCAAAAGGATGTGAACACCTGTCTTGGGCTTTGGCAACATCCTATTAAGCCTTTAATAAGAATGAATTACCACCCAAAATTGAAACGCAACATAACAGCATTCTACTTCTACCATTTAAGAGGTAAGAATTTGATTTTGCCTCCCAATATACTTTTGGATAGATATAAACCTATTAACCCCTTCTTTCAAAAAGCAATTGATTCTTTTCCCAAAAATGAAAGCATGCAGAGACAGCTGGGTATGTCTTTATAGTAGAAATTTTTAGCAATACTATAGGTACATTAATTTTCCACTGTGAGAAGACTTGTAGGTCAGAACAATAAATAACCTTCTGATGACAGAAACCTTAAAAAAGTGTTTAGAAGCTTAATTAAAAGCGCTCACTTCACCTCCCATAGGTAACTTGCAAACACAAGGAAGTTAAAATGTAAATATAAACATATGCATACATAAGGGGAAGCTTGGTGGGTAATGCTGCATATCAAAGGCACTGACAAAGTGGCAGCAAGAGGCAGAGCATCAAACAACCGTATGGTCTAGCAATCACATGATGCTCTGATCCCGCTTACCCACATCACGGCACCGTAGTCCTTTAGGGATGAGTCCTTGAACCTTGTAAAACTGTTGGCCTTCGGGCCAGAATGGAGAGAGTCACAGTCCCTTCAACTCGAGTTCACACTGCGGTTTCAGTCTGTTCAGTAGAGCAGCACAGGAAGAGCAGCGATGCTCTGGCCATCTGCCAGCCCAGGGGCATCACCGTCGCAGTACTGAAATGTTCCCAGGCACAGCAGAGTAAGATGCTGATCAGCACAGCGAGCAGCAAAAGCAAAAAGCGGTCACTAATGAGCACTAGGCTCACCTATACAGTAAGGCAAGCCCCATAGCAAGCACAGAAGCCTGCCCACGAGCAGCAAAAAGCAGTAACAACTATAAATTCTATCTAGTATATTGCAATCAGATCTGTTGTTATCTTGAACCCTTCAGGCCCATGTCAGGCACCAAAAAGGATGGCCATGGTTTACACCCAGCCAGCAACTACACACCACTGCTTGCTCACTCCCCTCCCTGGTGAGATGGGAAAGAGAATCAGAGGAGTTAGAAAACTTGTCACTTGAAATAAAAGTAGTTTGATAGGTAAAGCAAAGTCACACACACAAGCGAAGGAAAACACCAGTTCCCATCGGCAGGTAGGTGTTCAGCCATCTCCAGGAAAGCAGGGCTCCATCACACCTAACAGTTAATTGGGAAGACAAACACCATTACTCTGAATATCCTCCGCTTCCTTCTTCTTCCCCCAGCTTTATATGCTGAGCATGATGGGATATCATATCATATGGGATATCATAAGGTCTGGGATATCTCCTTGGTCAGCTGTCCCGGCCGTGTCCCCTCCCAGCTTCTTGTGCACTATTGGCCTCCTCCTTGGAGGGGTGGGGTGCACTTTAACTCTGTCAGCACTGCTCAGCACTGCTCAGCACTAACTAAAACATCCCTGTATTGTCAACACTGCTTCCAGCACAAACCTAAAACACAGCTCCACAGTAGCTACTGTGAAGAAAATTAACCCTATCCCTGCCAAAAGCAGCACAACCAGAATGGAGAGCACAGTCACACAACCTTCTTACTGTCTCGGTACCTTCCAAACCGTATATTGCCTTTCATAGCAGTACTGTCAAGAGTATCTACATTTAGAGGTTTCAAAACAGCCCTGGGAAACACCATAAAAAGTGCTACCCTTGCCTATGCCTTCCTCCAGCTGCAAGAAGAGGTGATATTTAGGGGTTTTATCCAACTCTCTTTCTAACTGTCTAGACATTAGCTAAGGAGACACAGGAATTGGAGTACATGGATGGTGTAACTAAATACTGACTAAATAGGATGCATAAGTATGTGACAGGACCAAACTGAAGGAAACGACTCCTGTTCTCCCACCCTCAGTCCTCACACCCATCTGACCTTGAAGTATGCAAACTTTTCACCCATCTCCCAAGATTCCCTCTCATCTTCCCTCATCCCTTTGAGGCACTACAATTTAAGACAGACCAGAGAAGAATAAAGAACAAATTTATGTATAGCACATGCCTAACTAAGAACTTAGCTTGAAAGAGTAAGAGGCATACTCAGGTTCTCAGTCCCTGTTGTGAAGAAGATACACGCTCGCTAACATTCAGCAGGGAAGAGCTCTTACGGACCTGACTGACTAACACCGGTAAATGTTGACTTTTCTTATTTTAGCTGACGTTCTCAGAGGAAAAGTGATGCTCTGCCCTTCTTCTTACCTCTTTCTGTCAAGTCTGTATTTTGAACTGTCTCCTCCTCCAAGCTAAACTTTAAAGGAATAACTAAACAATCCTAAATTGTGTATTTCAGAATTCAAAGTCCCAACCACCAACTTAAGCTGGTATTGTAGAGTCTGGACCTTTGGGGGATGCTCTAATGATCACAAAAGTGCCCTATGCATGGTACCATTATTTGGTGACACTATTGGAGATACCTCTATTATAGTTGGCTCGATATAAAACTGAAAATGGGTTAATAAAGACACGGTTCTCATTTTCACAGTGTATTTCAGTTTCAGCACAGAACAGAACACAAGCAGCAACAGCAAAATAATGGAGCAGAGGTACCGGGTTGGTTTTTTTTAGTAGTGACATTAATTTGGAAAGCTTAA